CCTCTTAATTTGCTTTTGTTTTAGGTGTGGTTGTTAATAACTGTGAGTTTGCTGTCCTTTCACTGTTCATCTTTTTTCCCAGATAAGAAAGTCCCTTTAACATTTCTTAGATAAGTCCCTTTAACATTTCATATAATAAGGGCTTGGTGATGATGAACTCCTTGAATTTGATCTTATCTGAGAAGCACTTTATCTGCCCTTCCATTCTAAATGAAAGCTTTGCTGGATAGAGTAATCTTGGTTGTAGGTCTTTGGATTTCATGACTTGGAATACTTCTTTCCAGCCCCTTCTTGCCTGTAAGGTCTCTTTTGAGAAATCAGCTGACAGTCTGATGGGAACTCCTTTGTAGGTGACTGTCCCTTTCTCTCTTGCTGCTTGTAGGATTCTGTCCTTCATTTTAATCTTGGCTAATGTAATGATGATATGCCTTGGTGTGTTCCTTCTTGGGTCCAACTTCTTTGGGACTCTCTGAGCTTCCTGGATTTCCTGGAAGTCTATTTCCTTTGCCAGATTGGGGAAGTTCTCCTTTATTATTTGTTCAAATAAGTTTTCCACTCATGGCTGTTCCTCTTCCCCTTCTGATACCCCTATAATTTGGATGTCAGAACATTTAAAGATGTCCTGAAGGTTCCTAAGCCTCTCCTCAGTTTTCTGAATTCTTGTTTCTTCATCCTTTTCTGTTTGGTCATTTTTTTCCTCCTTCTGGTCCACTCCTTTGATTAGAGTCCCAGTTTCCTTTCCATTACTATTGGTTTCCTGTACATTTCCCTTCATTTCAATTAGTTTAGCCTTCATATGTTCCTCTAATTTGTGACTAAAATCAACCAGTTCTGTGAGCATCCTGATCACCAGTGTTTTGAACTGTGCATCTGAAAGTTTTGCTATTTCTTCATTGCTTAGATTTATCAGCTCTGGGGCTTTGAGTTGTTCTTGAGCCATGTTTTGATCTGTTCATTCCTGTTACGTATGAGGAGCAGAGCCTTAGGTGTTCACCAGGGTGGGGCTACCCAGGTCGCTGGTTTGTGAGGCTGTATGTGGGGGCAGGGTCAGAGAGGGACAATAGCGGTTCCCTCTGCCACTTCCTGCCAATGGTGCTGCGTGGTCCGCTGTTCCTCTCACTGCTCGCTCCTTCACCGGTTTATCTGCGCATGAATGTGTGACCGTGATCAGTACTCAGTGGGTCCACCACCTTGCACCCTCACTGGGTCCGCCTGCTTCTCCACACCTGGGATCTGCCCATGGCTGCTGTTGCACCTGGGTCACGCACCTGACCCTGCTCTGCTGCTGGCTCTGCCTCTCTTACTGGTTTGGTTGAAGGGTTCGTTGTTGTCAGACATCCGTGTAGTTCAATTTTCTGTGGTTTGACTGCATTTTTGTTGATAAAACTTTGTTGTTTTTAAACTTGGTTGTGCGAGAAGGTACAGTGCCTCCACCTACATCTCCATCTTGGCAGAAGTCCTAGAGGTCATGCTTTTAATCACCAAGATATACAGCTTTTACTGGACTAGAATTTTCTCCAGATATGTACTGTATTTTTCTGTATTCACAGCTCTGTACCTCAGTGAAGGGCATTAGAAGTTGTTCAGAGAAAAAAGATTAATTCAATTTTTTATCTTAATTGCCTATTATATGCTAATTACAATGCTAGTCATGGGGTTACAGAGAAAAAGAGACAGTTTCAACTGTAAGAAACTCCCTACAGTCTAGCAGGAGAAGCAGCAGGGTCAGCAAATGTACTATGTGAGATATAACGGAGCATTCTAAGTGCACAGTGAGGAGAGGCATTGAGCCTGAAATTTGGGTTCTCAAGCCAGGATTCCTAATTTGAGTCCTGGGACTAAGCTCATTCTCCAATTTACAGCAAAAGTCTTGGGAGCCCACAGCTGGGCCTACAGGTCTGAAGTCAACTAAAGATTTAAGTATGAAATCTGAAAGTCAGCAGTAATTTTCCCCCCTTCTTTTCCCTAAAGAATGACTGGTTGTTGCCCTTATATTCTCTTGTACCTAATTAGATGCTGAAGAAGCTAACAAAGCTATAATCAAATTTTATTGGAATTGTGAGTTTTATGGAATCCTGCAGACATGAAAGGTAACTCAATGCTCATTTTCAGGCTTTACTTTATTCAACAACTGTCCAGGTCAATGGACAATGAAAGCTACTGGAGGCTGAGCATTTAGACTATAATTCAGTTTATCTCTATATTCTGTCAAGTAGAGAACCCAGAAATAGACCCCATAAATAGAGTCAACTGGTCTTTGATGAAGGAGCTATGGCAATACAATGGAGAAATGATAATCTTCCACATATGTTGCTGGAACAACTGGATGTCCACCTGCAGAAAAAATCTAGCTCTGGCTGGTGTGGCTTAGATTGAGTGTCAGCCCGTGAACCAAAGGATCACCAGTTCAGTTTCCAGTGAGTGCACATGACTGGCTTGTGGGCTAGGTCGCCAGTTGGGGGTGCATGAGAGACAACCACACATTGATGTTTCTCTCCCTCTCTTTCTCTTTGCCTTCCTCTCCCTAAAAAAGAAATAAAATTCTTTAAATTAAAAAAAATTTAATCTAGACACAGACCTTACAACCTTCACAAAAAGTAAACTGAAATGAATGCCAGAGGTAAATGTAAAGAATAAAACTATAGCCCTGGCTGGTATGGCTCAGTGGACTGAGCACCAGACTGCTAAGCAAAGGGTCATGGGTTGGATTCCCAGTTAGGGCACATGCCTGAATTGCAGGCCAAGTTTTCAGTGTGGGGTGCACAAGAGCCACACATTGGTGTTTCTTTCCCTTTCTTGCTATCTCCCTTCCCCTCTGTCTAAAAATGAATAAATAAAATCTTAAAATAAAAAATAAAAATGATAAAAAAGCATAAAACTATAAAACTCCTAGCAGATAACAGGAGAAAACCTAGATGACCCTGATATGATGACTTTTTAAATACAACACCAAAGACATAATTCATGCAATAAATAATAATATGGACTTCATTAAAATCAAAAACTTCTGCTATGCAAAAGAAAGTATCAAGAAAATTAGAAGACAAGCCACAGATTTGACAGAAAATTTTTCAAGACACATCTGATAAAGGACCATTGTCCAAAATATCAAAGGGCTCTTAAAACTCAACAGTAAGAAAACAAACAACTGGGTTGAAAAATGGGCCAATGACCTTAACTGATGGCTCACCAAAAGAGGTATACAGATGAAAAATAAGAATATGAAAAATATGAATGTGACATATGATATGGAACATCATATGTCATCAGGGAAAGGCAAATTAAAACAATGAGATACGATTACACACCTACTAAAATGGCCAAAATCTGGAACATGGAAAACAACAAATGTTGACAAGGATGTGGAGCAACAGGAAGTCTCATAGTTTCCTGGTGAGAATGCAAAATGGTATGGCCTCTTTGAAAGACACTTTGGCAATTTTTTATAAGACAAATGTACTCTAAAAATCCAGCAGTTATGCTCCTTGGTATTTTCCCAAAGGAACTGAAATTTTATGTTCATACAAAAACTTACACACAGATGTTTATAGTGGCTTTATTCATAATTTCCAAAACTTGGAAGCAATCAAGATGTCCTTTAGTAGGTGGATAAATGAATAAACTGTGGTACATCCAGACAATAGAATATTATTCAGAGCTAAAAAGAAATGAGCTATCATACCGTGAAAAGACATGGTGGAACCTTAAATGCATATTATTAAGTGGAAGTTAACCCAGAAAGGCTATATACTGTATGAATCCAATTATATGACATTCTGAAAAAGGCAAAACTATGGTGACGGTAAAAAAAAAAAATCAGTGGTTGTGGGGTGGGGGTAGTGGAAGTGAAGCATGAATAGGCAGAGCACAGAGGATTTTTAGGGCAGTGAAAAATAGTGTGCTATTAGCAGTGAAAAATACTATGGTATTATGATAATGAACATATGTCATTATACTTTTATCCGAGCCTATATAGAATGTACAACAGCAAGAATAAACTCTAAGTTAAACTATGGACTTTGGGTGATTGGTTATGTGTCAGTGTAAGTTCATCCTTGGTAAAAAAAATAAATGTGCTTTCTGATAAGTGATATTGATAATGGGGAAGTCTATGCATCTGCACCATCTTCTCAATTTTGTTGTAAACCTAAAACTGCGGTAAAAAATTAAAGTTTTTTTTTTTTTAAGTTCAAATGGATGAAAACCAGAGTCTTGGGCAGTGCAGATAAGTGTTTATCAGTCCCCTGAGTGAGATGTCAAGGTAACCAAGGTTGCTGAAGAAAAGGGTCAGCTCTGGCACCCATGACTATACAAGGGGGAGTACACATATGCCTGTGCATGTATGCATATATATGCACAGATGGGCTCAAAGGTAGCAGAGTAGTCCCTTTATATACTTAAATTACTACTGGAGGGTCCTCTTGCTGTCTTTTTTAGATACCAAGTCCCTTCCAGCTGGCCTTCTCTTCATGACATGAAATATTAGGTTTAATATAACCCAAATTCAAACATCAAGAAGAGTTAACTATTAATCATTTATGTTTAGATTATCCATATGAATATTATTATTTGTAAAAAATGTCTAATCCCAATTTTAGTTTTTCCCCTTAGGCTTATATTTTTGAAGGGCCTCCCTTTACCACAGGTCAATGCTTACCTCAGGAATGGTAACTATTTAAATTTTTATTAACCTAAGAAAAACCACAAGTATAGCTTTCTTGCCCCTTTAACCCCTCGTTAAAGTCTTAGCACACTCCAAAGTCAAATATATATAATCATTAAATTATTATTTGTCTTAAATATATATTGCATTCCATTTGAATTATGAATAATTGACCTTCAGGGTATCAGAGATATGAACTATTAGTCTCAGTTTAAGTTTTCAAATGACTTGACCTTACTCAGTTACCATTCTCACTTACAAAATGAGGAAACCAATCTCTTCTCTGCCTTCAAGGCAGTTCTGTAAAAAAAAAAAAAAAAAAAAAAACCACCAAAAAACCAAACCTCTGAACTCTTTACAGCCATGCATTAATGTATGTTAGAGTAATACACTTCATTTGAAACATTTTTACTGTACCACTTTGTCATATGCACTCACATCATCCCACAACAAAAGACACAGAACAATCATCTAAACATCTTCTTATCAGTAGTGGAATAGTGTATATTATCACTATTCAAATTTATTTAGGAACAGTGAGATTCCTTTGAATCTCAACATTTCTTTGGATATGCAGTTTTTCTTTAAGTTACCATTTCTAGAATGGCTTTATGTTACATTTCAACATACTAGCTCACAAAGGAGACTTAAAATAACATTTCCAGGAAGTTAAAAAGGATTCCTAGCCCATATGGGAACTCTTGTGGGAGTTAGCATAGTATTTCACACTTTGGTATTTTTCATTTCTCTTCTTTTTTTTTAAAGAAGATAAAATATTACAGACATGTTGAAAATTCACACCTGAGTTAAACATTTTGCTGGAAAATTCCACATTAAGAAGAAGAAAGTGCAAAACGACAAAAGGGCTGTATATAGGTATTTTGCCAGAGTAATTGTTGCATGTTTGTTTTTGTGTCCTTCCTTCTATAGTCAGGATAAGGGAGAGAGAATAAGATAAGGAAAAACACAGAGAAGGTGAGAATGAACAAGTGCTCCTTAACTCTGTGACAGGTGTAACAGACAGGTGTAGGTACAGAAATATGCCCAGGAGACTGAGGGACTCAGACTTCTGTAAAGAGGAGGGAACTTGGAGAACAAAATCATGAATGGAATTGGTTCTAGAAAAGGGGGCAGCATGGAAGAGAAAACTGGGTGAAAGAAGTTTCAGTCAGAAAACTTTGCTGAACAGGGAAAACATCAAGGCTTTGGTAGAGGCATCAAATTCAATTTTTTTCACATATTTTAGAAGTAGTTCAGAGACTATGGCTAAAGTCAGAGTTAAAACCATTATTTCTCTTTTTGATTGTTTGGCACACCAGGCAAATGGCTGTCCCCAGAATGGGTTGGAGAATAATGGCAAGATGTCCTTTTTCTGAAACACCACTGCCACAGTGATGCTGTTCGAAATATTTAGAACTAGAGGATGGAGGTGGGGCACAGGCAAGGAAGTTCAAATTTTAGCATTGGTATATATTTCAACAACACTAGAAGTCAACACATGGTTCAATCACAGTTTAAATCTCTGGAGGCCCTTGCTCATTAAGAAGGCAAGAGTTTAGGTTCAGTGATAGTGGGGATTCTCCTCTGCTCTTCTGAGAGTAATCTGTCCATACAGAGAAGGGATGACTCCCTTCCTTCCAATGGGGAATACAGGGCCAGGTGGAATAGGAGAAACTTTTTGGTCTTAGTGGAGGTAGGTGGGATGATTCCATCGGTACCAAGATCTGGAAGGGAGAAAAAAAAGTCAATTGTAAGCTGTTAGTGTGATGAGGGAAGATGGGAATGGATAGTGACCACTAATAGGTACAGGGTTTCTTTCTGGGATAGTAAAAATGTTCTGGAATTAGATAATAATGATAGTTGTATGACCTTGTGAATATATTAAAGACTACTGAATTGTACACTTTAAAATGATACATTTTATGGTATATGAGTTATATCTCAAAACAATATTTAAAATGTACATTACATGGTTCTCTCTCTCTCTGTCTCTCTTTCTCTTTCTCTCTCAGAGGTAGCTGAGGAGCTCCAACTTTTGGTGCCATGCAACAATGGCCAACAAAAACTGGCTGCCTTGCTGAACTACCTCAGTTTAGACAAGTAGATTTATCTCTTCTGACAAGCTCAGATCTTTAACCTATCACCTAACTTTCAAATCTCTCTTTTGTTCTGAATCAGGGAAGAATCTCTCAAGGCATCAGCTAAGAAAATATTTTTTAGTAGATTCTTTGACCTAAGAGGCTACTTTCCCCTAACAGTATCCTAACTTCCCTCTCTCACTGCGCCAGCCATGTTCAAAGCTCAAATCCACATTACAGTGTCCTCAGAACAGGATTACTGGCATTATGTGGAGAACTCCTAAGTCCAGTGAAGGACTTGATGTTTGGAAATTTCCACCTTCCCAGTGAGGACGGACATTTTGGCTTTATTGACATGAGCTCCTTGCAGGAATGCTCACTGGCTGAAGCTTCTCTTCTAAGTCCAACTCCCCAGGGATAAAGTTCAGTTTGGCTCTCCACTCTGTCCCCTCCCGGCCACCCCATTCCCTTTTTCCAACCCAGTGACAGCTTTCTTTCCCAAAGTTTTGACTTAGGTTTTCACATGTCCCTTGGCCCTACTGGGTTGTTACTGTTCTCTCCCCTTCCATCTTACCCTGAAGAGTTAAAAGTGGAGGAGTTCACTGTTGCTTTGGAGTTATTTTGAGGTGCAGTGGGGCTGCTTGCATGAAGTCCTGAGCTAGGAGACGAAGGCCTGCTGTTGTTCCCAGGGGAACAGGGTGATGTTACTGAGGATAAGGAGAGGCAAAAACAAGGGGAAAGTAATGTAGCTGGGTCTTGCTTGGACCTTGTGGCATGGCCCTTCAAAACATCTATCCCCAAAGGAATCTCACCCTCTCCCTATTCCCACCTATCTGTCCAGCTCCTGTCATATTAGCATTAGCACCTAGATCCAGAGGGTTTTTCATCATGAATGTTCTCCTCAGACCAGGCTCTGAAGAGGTATATGGCTGGTTCTGCAAGTCTGAGACTTGTCAAACAGAAGAAGAACTGGTGCCCAGATCATCCTATTGTAGGACACACCCTGGGCTGAGCATATGCCGCCCCAGACCAAGAGGCAGGATAGGAAAATGAACAAGAAACCTCAGGTTGGAAGAGTATGGGAATGAAATAAAAGTACATAGGGAAGAAAAGAGAGTCTGAGAGTGCAATTAAAGATTGCCACCCTCCATAGTGTTCTCCTCTCCGCAAACAAAACGTATATGGTTTTCTAGAAAGAGCACAACAAGAAATGAGGAGACCCAAGTCTAGGTCCCAGCAGCTCTGTGGCCTGTGGTGATTGGCTTCCTTTCCCTGAAACTCATTTTTGTCCTCTGTAAAATGGCAGATTTAGATTAAACTGAGCTCTTGTATTTGAGTCCTCGGAACATTACATGGATAAGATGACATATATTTTACCATTGAAAGTAAGATATTTTGAAGAGTGAAAAGGAGTGCTATTGATAATTATGTCAGGACAAGAGGCTGACACTAGGATTATTCTAGGCCCATCCAGACATATGGTCATCCTATTTAGCTTTTTGAAATGCTATAGTACTTTTTGAAAAGCAGAGTTCTGTAGAAAATTGGTTTGGAAAACCCTCCCTTCTGTTAGCCTTTCATACAGCTTCTTTAGGAATGTGTAATGTACTTGAGTGCTGAGAAGTGCTATAATCAAAACAAAACAAAACATAAACACTTATTTAAACTTTGCTTACTCAGTATTTCCTCAACTTACTTGATCATGGAACCCTTTTTCTCAAAGCAGACTTTAACATCTTTTGAAATACATTTAGAACCATTATTTTCTGTTCTAACATCCCATTATTTAAAGAAATTCTTGTTTAATTCAGAAACTTCATTTTAAAGCTCACCTGTTCCAGGCATGGTGCTATGGACAGGAGGGATGGAGAGGGGGCCCAGAGACCCAGAGGGAGGGACCTGAAAGGCAACAAAAGCTTATAAATATCCATTTCCACCTCATTCTCCAACCTTTAATACTTCTCCCAGGATGCTGGGTCCCATCTCTGCAGAGATAATATCTTAGCTTCCTTGACAATTTCTAGTCCAAACCTACATCCTGTCCCATTTCATAGAAAGGCCTCTGGACCACATACAACATCCAGCTCCAGCTCTATCCTGCTCCCACAGCTCTCTGCTGCTGACACTCAGACCTGCCCACCCTGCTGTGTATCCCTGTTGGGAACCACTCTGCCTGGTTTCAGGAATTGTAACTACCCCCCCATGGCTAAGGATGAGTTAGTGACCTCCAAATGCAAGCCACAAAGAGACAAAACTTATCTCTGGTAGCAAACACTGCCTCTGCTTCCTCCCTCTGCCCCCAAAGCATGGTCAATGGTCGATGATAGGTAAGACTTCTCAGAAGAGGGGCAACCTAAGCCAGACACAATCACTTGGGAGGCCATTATGGAAGGACTCAGGGGGCTGGGACAAAGAGGGAGCAATGGACCCTTGCCCCTCCCCCCACTATTCTGACATAGCCCGAGTCCCCATGTCCTCTGGGAGAAGCACTTCCTGGCTCTAATCCACTGAAGCCTGAAAACCTGTGCTGGGGAGGCGGTGTAGCTCCATGCCTTGCTAGAGCAGTATCTGGGGTAAATCTGGCATAAGAAAGAATTCCTAAAAGTCTTGTGAAACCTGCTTTGCTACGAGTGCTTTCATTCATATGTTAAGGGTCTGAGCAGGAAATGAGTATGTCTCCTAAAGTTTCTGCAACCCCCTTTCCTGACAGACACTGACTCAGACTAAGCCATCATATTTCTTTGAAATGTTATCTACTGTTTGATCCTTGCCTCCCTGTATTCCTGTGTATTACAACCCAATAAAAGCCCCTAGAGGAAGGGGCTCCTGGCCTTTTTTCTCTGAGAAACTGGCTACCTCTCCTCCCCAAGCAGACCATGTCTTGGTAGTGTTACTTTCATCCATGGTGGACAGGGGGACTTGAGGGCAAAGTTGCCCCCACATATCCCCTGGCAAGATTTCTTTGGAACTGCCAGGTCAAAGCTGTGCTTGAGTGCTCTAACAATGAAAGGAGCATGCCCCTTTGGAATCTGCTGTGGCAGACATCATTTTTCAGTCTTTACTGCTTCCTTGGTAAAAAAAGGTTCTGCTTTTTCTCAGGGCAGCAGAGTACCAGTCCTAACAGCCCTGTCTTAGGCTTCCTAGCCTCATGCATAAGTGGACCATCAGCTCTCCAGAGATAACTGGGGGAGCTGAACTTTGGTTTCTGAATATTTTATTTTGCCCTGGAGCCCTCACAACACCATCAAGTCTAAGATTTGAAAGGGACCTAAGATAATTTAGTTTAATCTCCCACAAAGTTCAGGAATCTCCCCCTCAGTATTACTACCCTAGAATGTAGAAAAAGATGATATATACAGAATGGACTTTGGAGCCCAACAAATTTGGGTAAGACCTGGCTCCACTACCTACCATCAGTGTGACTTTGGGCAAGTTACCTAATCCCATTGAGATTTGGCTTTCTCATCTGTAAAATAGTACTAATACTTCCCTTATAGGTTATTTTAATTAAAATTTAATGATAAAATGTTCATAGAGTTTCCAACTCAATACCTGGCAAAGTATGCCAGACCTGTTCGATGTCAGTTCCCTTCCTTCCTGAAAGAAGCTGTTAGCTGCCTTGTCTGTAGAACCTGTTCACATTTTCATTTGAACTGAGATCTTCATACATTTTCTCCCCTCATTCTTCTCATGCTGACAGGGGAAGCTCTGGTGAAATTATTTTTTATTCTCATGTGAAGATATGTTTTTCACAGCATATTGGTTTTTTTTCTAATTGATTCTTTAGAGAGAGTGAGGAAGAAAGAATGAGAAAGAGAGAGAGAGAGAGAGATATTAATGTGAGAGAGAAGCATTAATTGGTTGGTTGCCTCTTGTACTCCCCTGCCCCCTGCCACTGGGGATGGAGCCTGCAACCCTTTTGTGCCCTGACCAGAATCAAACTTGTGAAAACACTCCAACTAACTGAGTTACACAAGTCACAGATGATGAATTCATGGAGAGATTCTTTTTTTTTTAATTGTTGTTCAAGTACAGTTGTCTCCATTTTCCCCCCACCCCTCACCCCACCCAAGCCACCACCACCTCTCACCTCTGATCCCACTTCCCCCCACCCTTGGTTTTGTCCATGTGTCCTTTACACCTGTTCCTGAAAACCCTTCCCACCTTTCCCCCATTATCCCTTCCCACCTCCCCTCTGGGTACCACATTCTAATCAACTGAGTCATATCAGCCACAGCTGATGAATGCTGTTTTAAAGACATTGAGAGGAAGTCTCTGCTCAGGGGGGTGTGATTTGATATTCCTTCCCTCCCCAATTTGTAACATCCCATCCCAGCAAGGTGCAACACATAGTCACTTCCTGTGGTAAGCATGGTAAGAGATGTTATCAATAATCTTTCCCCCTTTTCTTCTCTTCCACTTCCTGCTACCACATCCAATAAATTTGTTGTTTTTAATTAAATAATGTATTTAGTCACTGTGACCAGCTTCTAAGAGGTTTCCTTCTGGAGACAGATTATGCATATGCAAGCAGACATACATATGGCTCCCCCTTTTTAATTTTTATATTAATGGTAGCATTCTGCCCACACTGGTCTGCACCATTTGCTTTTTTTTCCTGCTGAATGGTATACTTTGATGATCATTTCATATCAGAAGCAGAAAAAAGCTATGGCCTATTCCCAAGGAGACTGTCCCAATGACACCTGAGGAAAAGACAGGGTCAGAACATTTTCTTTATCTGCTTTTTTCATAACAGCATAAGTATTAATTATTTGTACAATGTCTCCCCCTCACCACTAGGCTGTGAACTTCATGAGGGCAGGAGGATACCAGTATGGTTCACTGTTACACCCTTAGTGTCTACTATGGTGCCTGGAACTTTGCAGGTGCTCAGCAAATATGTGTTGAATAAGTGATGAGAATGAGTCCATGTTGGTGTCCTTGGTTGGAATTAAACCAAAGCAAAAGCCTATTTCCCATCTACTGTAAATAAAGCACCAAATCTAAAGATTCCAATGTTCTTGAGACATGGTCCAATTTCCCCCAATACCCTACATAATCCCTACCTCCCACTCCAACCTCCTTCCTCACACTTCCTCTCACTCCCTGGGTTCCAGCCCATTCAAGCCTTCTGTGCTTCCTCTCCCCACCACACCAGCCTCAGGGCTTTAGTGCACACTGTTTCCTCTGCCTACAATGTTTTCCCCTATTCTCTCTCCTCCTTTTCTTCCCAACTCAGACCTTTTCCCCATTAATGTCTATTCATTCTTCTGCAGTCAGTTTCAGCATCATTCTTCAGAGAAGGTCTGACACTCTGGACAAAATTTGGTCCCTGCAATACCCATACATCTTCTCTGAAGGCTTCAGCACAAATAACATTTGTTTATGTCTGTTTTCCCTGCTGGACTGTAAGTGAGGATCACAGGTGTCCTGTGCTCCACTCTATCCCACTATCAAACATATGGTTGGTGCTTAAGAATATTTAAAGCCCTGGCTGGCATAGCTCAGTGGATTGAGTGCAGACCTGTGAACCAAGGGGTTGCCAGTTCGATTCCCAGTCTAGGGCACATGCCCGGATTGCAGACCAGGTCCACAGTAGGGGGCATGTGAGAGGCAATCACACATTAATGTTTCTCTCCTTCTCTTTTTCCTTCCTTTCCCCTCTCTCTAAAAGTAAATAAATAAAATCTGTAAAAAAAAAGAAATATTTAAGAAAGGAATAATGAATGAATGAATAAATGAATGAATATTGCATTGCCTCCAACTTAAAATTTTAACTGATTATCATTGTTTATAGAGTATTTTGGTATCAAGGCCCTTCATGATCTGGCCCTCATCACTCTCTCTGTCTTTTTTCCAAACCCAACTCTAGCCAGACTGAATTGGTGTGATTCTCCAAAAGCATCATGTTGTTTTAGAATTCCATGTTTTCTCACAGACCATTCGTTCTGCCCTGAATACCAATTTTCATGATAACTTCTGATGTGTTCTTCATATAAAATAAGGTATCAGCCCTCTCAGACCCAATTTGGGTTTTTCATCTGTGTTCCTATAGCACTCCTGTAAAGTTCCTCACACCCATTTTACCCCTTACATCTATTTCATTGAAATTTCTTATCTTTTCTGCATCTCTTTCTCAGTTTCTTCCCCTGATACTCTTCTTTTGCCAATCTCTCAAATGCTAGTGTTCTACAGGATTGAGACCTGTACTTTCCTTTTTGCTTCCTCTGTACAAACACCATAGGTGAGCTCCTCTTCACTCAGTATTTCAACTTCAAGTATATGTTTATAACTCCTTGATCCGTATCTCTATCCCAGCCTTTTCTCCTACCCTCCAGACCTATAATCCTAAGTGACTATGGACATTGCCACTTGGGTGTCCCACAGGCCTCACTGAACATCATAATAATGGAAAGAGCCGAAATATCACTTTTTCCAGTTCCCAAACTAGCTCCTCCCCTGTGTTTACTTGTTCCATCCATGGCATCATCATCTACCCCATCAGCCAACTCTGAATTATGAGAATCATCTCCAAGTGTTTTCTTTCCTTCATCACTCTCCATATCACCACCCAATTTTCAGTTATTAGCCAACATCTAAAAATTCTACCTTCTATTTATGTCCTGAATCTTTTCCATCCCCCTCATTCTTACCACCTGGGTTTGCTTCAGCCCTCATTTCTCTACTGGATAATTACAATCAAATCCTTATTATTCACCCATGCTATCAAACTACCTTATTTATACTGAAGTTCATAATGATCATTCTAAAAGGCAAATATGATCATGCTGGTGCCCTGCTTAAAAACTTTTCAATTACTCCTCCAAGCCTTGACATTTTTTAGTATTGCACACAGTCCCTTCAGTCTGGTCCTTGCTGATTTATCCATCCTCTTCTTTCCACATTCCTCCACATGGAACCACCAGCAGTTCTGTGAATACTGCCTGATCTGTACCATTATTCTCATACTTCCCTCCTGTGAAAACTCCTCCTCCCCACTTATTTGCTTCTTCACTATTTTTGCCTTTTACACTTAGCACAATTATTATTTATTTCCTTGGTGAAGACTTTCTAACCATTACTTCCCAAGGCTCTGTTAGCTGTGACTAAGAAGTTCTCCTAAAGAAGTTATCATGTTGTTTATCATTTCTTTATTTGTCTATCTCCCTTGCTATACAATGAGGTCCCCTGGGAGAGGGGACAAATAATACTTATTTGTGTATCTCAGGACTCTGCACAAAAAACAATATGTAGTAGATAGTCAATAAATGTTTGGTGAAAGAATGAACAATGGCGTAGTTTTATGAAAAAAACTATGTCCCTCCCTGGACGAGGCTGAATTTTGTTTATGCTTAGTGCTAAAAGACTTAAAGACATCACCATTATTCTTGGTTCCCTTAACCTTAAACCGTCACCATCCCCAAGGGTGGAGAACAACATTCCCACACCCACCCTCTAGGCATCATCTCTCTCCAGGATAGAGAAGATATTTTCTGTTCTTGAAGTCTGCTTGAAGTCCATGTTATTACCAGCCCTGACTTCTTCCCTGACCACCATAATTACAGGTATAACTTCTACCTGACACTTCCTTTTGGATGTCTAGGAGCCATGTCCAATTTAATATGACAACTCTAAATTCTTAGTTTTTCCTTTCAAAACTGTTCCTCCTTGGTCTTTATCATCTCAAAAAAAAAAAAAAAAAAAAAGGCAGCATCTTCCAACCAGTTGCCAAGGCCAAAACCCTTGATGTCATCTTTACCTTATTTCTCATACTCTATATCTGAGCTGTAAGCATATCTTGTTGGCTCCACAGTTGAAGTATATTCAGAATCCAACCACTTCTCACCACCCTAGCCTAAGCTTCCACCACTTAGCCTGATTACTGTAATTCTCCTAGCCAGTCTCCTGTCTCCACACAGATCATATACTGCACAGCAACTCATGTCAGCCAGCTTGGGCTCTGTGCTCAGAGCCCTCTAGTTGCTTATTTCACACAGACTAAACCCGGGGTCCTTTCAATGACCTCCAACACCTTAGATAGTCTGCTTCCTATTATTTTTCTCACTTCATCTCCTACTTCTCACCTTACTCCTTGATGTTGAGACATCTGGCATTCTTGCTGTTCCTTTAACATGCCAGGTGGTCTCATTTACTGGTCCCTTTCTTAGAACACCCTTTCCTTGAGATATTTCTCTATCTATACTTAGATCTCTGATCAAGTATAGGACCTATGTCACCTATAGGTCCTTATAGGTCAAATGTCATTTTAATAGGTCCTTTCTTACCTATTAAAAAAATCTGCCCACTATAACTTTCTATCTCCTTACATTTCTTTATTCTTTATATTAGATATTTAATATAAATCATCTATTTGTTGATTTATTTACTTCATGCACTCATCAACCCCAAACCTCCACCTTCCCCAGGATGGAGAAGACCTTTTACCCTCCAGGCATCACCTCCCCCTGTGTTTGGCAGGCACCTTGTTTCCTGGCCACTCACCAGACGGGAAGTATAGATGGGAGATTTAATGGGTGCAGTAACAGGACAGTTGATTCGCTTCTCCTTTTGGCGTCGGTTGCAGAACCAGACCCTTACCACCTCCTTCTCCATGGACAACTGCTCTGCAATTATGGATATTTCCTCTGAGCTAGGTTTGGGGTTCTACAAAGACAGAAGTGAGCGAAGGTGGTCAGAAGAAGAAAGAAATAGGGTCAAGAATTGGTAGTGGGGGACAGATGTTCCAAGGAAGCAGGATAGAAAAATAGATGATCAAAAAAGCTTTAGAATCAAACCTAGGATGGAATACTAGCTTATCACTTACTGTGTGTCCTTAAGAAATTTTCTTAACCTCTCTGAGCCTCAGTCTTATCATTAAGAAATGAGAATAATAATGCCTATGATGAAAGATTATTGCGAGGATTAAATAAGAAAATGTGTGTAAACTGCCAAACCCAGGGCTTGACACAGGTTCTCTTCTCTTACTCCTTTCTTCAAGAGAAGTTCTGAAAAGAAGAATTCATTGGTGAGTTATGTGGGGACAAGAAGAATCTCCAGAACCCATGTTCTCCTCTATGTTCTTTCCCCATAATCCAGTATATTTCTCTTGCAGCATTGCTTCCTGTCCTACCTCAAAATAGGAAATGATAAAGCTAAAATATATGAATCCATTGAGACTGTGGATTCTCAGACTCTCTTGTTCTGACCCCACTCCTACCCAAACTTTGATCTCAGCCCTCTTTCCTCCCTCCTACACCTTCCCTCACTCTTGTTGCTCTGAGAAACCTAATCAGAAGAAAAAGCCAGCTCTTGTCATGCTGCCAGAAGGATGTAGCCATAAAATGCACTTTGATGCAGTGCATCAAATGCACTTGAGCCCGATGCACTGCAGAGTCTGCTGGAGGGGCAGCAGTCCTGGAGGCCTGGGGCCAGCAAGGTTGAAGTAGGCCACATGTACCTTCTTTAGGGACTTGTGTGGTAGAGATGCAGGCTCTGGAGATTGGTACCTAAGGGAACCTGATTAGAAACTGTTTAGAGACTTCCGCCAAGATGGAGGCATAGGTGGATGTGCCATGCCTTCTCACACAACCAAGATTAGAGAAAACTAAATATTAGCAACAGAAAACACAGCCAGAACACGGAAAATTGAACTTTTCGGAAGTCCGTTAACAACAAATTCTTCAGCCTGACCAGTAAGGGGTGAAACCAGCGGCTGGTGAGGGGTTGCACAGGAGGACTTGGTCAGACGGACTCAGGCACGGAATCCAGGCACGTGGAATCCAGGTGCAGGGTTGGACCTAGTGAGCGACCGAGCGAGCCACCAGGCGAGTGACCGCGGAGGAGACAGCGGGGAAGCGGTGCTGCGTGTTGACTGTGGTTGCCCATTTGTGCGCGAGCAGACAGGCGAGGGAGTGGGCGGTTGGACTGGGGCCCGGCGGTCCGGCGGTCCCCGTGGCTAGCAGCAGTAGAGGGCGCTGCCATTTCCCCGCTCTGACCACGCCCCCACATACAGCAGCACAACCCAGCGACCTGGGAGTCCAAGGCACCGCTTCTCATACTTAAAGGGCCAGAACAGACCAAGAATGGCTCAAGAAGAACTCAAAGCCCCAGAGCCAATAGATCTAAGCGATGAAGAAATAGCAAGACTCACAGATGCACAGTTTAAAGGGAAGTTAAGGGGAAAAAGGTGGAGGGATTTGGAGGAACAAATAGGAAGGACACAGGGACGAGAACTAAGGGGGGGTGGAAATGGGAGGGAGGGGGGGAGCAAGGGGCGGGGGAGGCTGGGATGGGAAAAATAGACAAAAAACTGTACTTGAAAAATAACTAAATAAAATTTAAAAAAAAAGGATCCTCACAGAACTGGTTGATTATAGCCACAAATTAGACAAATATATGAAGGCAAAACTAATTGAAATGAATGGAATTGCACAGGACACCAATAGCAATGAAAAGGAAACTGGGACTCAAATCAATGGAGTGGACCAGAAGAAAGCAAATAATGGCCAAACAGAAAAGAGTCAAGAAGCAAGAATTCAAAGAAATGAGGAGAGTCTTAGGAACCTCCAGGACATCTTTAAACGCTCCAACATCCGAATTATAGGGGTACCAAAAGGGGGAAAGGCACAGCCACCAGTGGAAAACTTATTTGAACAAATAATAAAAGAGAACTTCCCCAATCTGGCAAAGGAAATAGACTTCCAGGAAATCCAGGAAGCTCAGAGAGTCCCAAAGAAGTTGGACCCAAGAAGGAACACACCAAGGCACATCATAATTGCATTAGCCAAAATTAAAATGAAGGACAGAATCCTAGAAGCAGCAAGAGATAGGGGAACAGTCACCTACAAAGGAGTCCCTATCAGACTGTCAGCTGATTTCTCAAAAGAGACCTTACAGGCAAGAAGGGGCTGGAAAGAGGTATTCTAAGTCATGAAATCCAAAGACCTACAACCAAGATTGCTCTATCCAGCAAAACTTTCATTTAGAATGGAAGGACAGATAAGGTGCTTCTCAGATAAGATCAAATTCAAGGAGTTCATCATCACCAAGCCCTTATTATATGAAATGTTAAAGGGACTTATCGAAGAAAAAGAAGTTAAAGGAACGTGAACAGTGAAAGGACAACAAACTCACAGTTATTAACAACCACACCTAAAATGAAAGCAAACTAAAAGGACAGCTAGATCAGGAGTGGAAACGTAGAAATGAAGATCTCAAGGAGAGTTAGCAACAGGGGAGTGGGAGGAGGAGAAGGGGGGAGAAGGTACAGAAAATAAGTAGCATAGACAGTAGATAGAAAATAGATGGGGGGGCAAGAATAGCATGGGAAGTATAGAATCTAAAGGACTTGAGACACATGGTCATAAACTAAAGGGGGGGTAATGGTGGGGATGGGGGGGTAGGGTGGAGGGGAATGAAGGGGGGAATAGAACAACTGTAACAGCATAATCAATAAAAATAAATAAAAATAAATAAAAAAAATAAAAAAAGAAACTGTTTAGACCATACCTCTTCTCTCCCCCAGTTTCCATGGGGGCACATAGTTGATACTATTAGCTTCATATAACAGGTTCAAGAATATACTTTTGCCACAAGTTAAAAAATGTATTATATAATATGATTACAAATATTTATATGTATGTGGAAAATGAAATAGAAGGAAATACATTTAGATGGCATTTAATGATGACTGTTTTCTCTCTACAACCTGTATTTTCCTAATTGTTTACAATAAGCATTTATTACATTTATAATTTGAAAAATACAAAACAATACCTAGAAAATAAAGAATTTACATACAATACCCTGGCTGTGCTCCCTTTTCTTCAACTGGGTATAGATCTATACCGTCTTCTGGGATGCTATATCCCATTCTTTAAATCTTCCAGTGAGAGGGACAATGTCACCCCAAATAGATGTCAGGGCAAGAAGGGTCAATGGGGGAAGAAGTTCCTGGAACTAGAGATAAAGGGCAGACTTTCACTCAAACACCTGGGTGTCTACAGAGCAAGTGTGTCATTGCTTTCTGACCCCTTCCCAGCACAGGTACTGAGGGGTCTCTGCAAAGGGCCTTTTATGTGCCTGCTCAACCACCTGTGGAAGTTGGCCCAGTGCTCCCACCCAGAGGAGCCACTCACATCTTGAAATCTTTTCTCCAGAGTCAGGCGAATGTTGGTCTCAATGCTGGTGCGTTTCTTCCTCTTCCTACCAAATACTTCATTGAGGGCGGGGTAGGAGCTTGGAGTGCTCACTGAGGGGTCTGATGGAGAGGATTCTGTTGGAAGGTGAAAGAGCAAAGGAAGTTCAAAGAAGGGAATGGACAGCCAATCCCATCTTCATGGACCTGAGATCCAACAATTCTTCTGGGTGGGTTCTATAGTATATTATCAGGACCAGGCCCCTCTTCCCAACCTGGGGAACAAGACAGACCAAAAATACTGCTTATCCTCATTGCTCCAGACAAAGATCCTTCATGATTCCCACAGCAATGCCTCCAGTGTTTGCAGCCATGGTTTAGGGACACCCAGACATCATCAGCATGTGTGAGTGTGTGGGTACAAGCAGAGCCTCTGCAAATAACACTCCTGAGTCTGTCTTTTATATCAGGGGTCCCCAACCTCTGGGCTGTGGACTGGTACTGGTCTGGGCCTATTAGAAACCAAGTGCACAGCAGGAGGTAAACTTCAATGTAGTGCCCTTAAATCATCTCAAAACCATACCCCTCCTGGCCCCCACCCACCATCCATGGAAACATTGTCTTCCATGAAACTGGTCCCTGCTGCCAAAAAGGTTGGGGACTGCTGCTTTATAAGTATGCCTGAACACCAAATACAATGCAAACTCTCACTTTGAGCTAAAGGTAATGGCAGTTGGTGCTAAAAGGTTGGTATTGAAGCCACTTTTTTTTCCCCAGTATAAATGTTGGAGCTAAGGCTGTTTAATTGATAGGCAGGAATATCCCTTTGCAAGGATTTAGGTATCAGATGGGGCAATCACACTAGAAATTATCTGTAAGGTCCTTTCCCAAAGACCCTAAGACCCTTTCATCTCATCTCTCACTTGAATACTTCCTTTTTTTTAATACTCACCTGAGGATACATTCATTGATGTGTGAGAGAGAGACATAAAAATGGTTGCTTCCTTTATGCACCACCCCCATGGGGATAAAACCTGCAACCTAGGTATGTGCCCTGACCAGGAATTGAACCCACAACTTTTTGGTGTACAGGAGGATGATCCAACCAACTAAGCCACATGGTCGGGGATTCAATGTTTCAATAGAAGTTGTGAAAGAGACAGTCTCTTCCTTGCCCCCTCCCATGTTTCCATTTTGCTCTTTCCTTCTCAGCTAGACCAGTAGTTCTCAATCAGGGACAATATCATACCACAACTCCTCCAAGGGATATTTGACAACATCTGGAGATATTTTGGGAGTATCTCAGCTGGGGGTGGCTGCTATGGCATCTAATGGTTAGAGACTAAGGATGCTACAAAATAAGAGAGCTCCCCAGAAGAAAGAATTATCTGACCCAAGATACTGATAGTGCCATGGCTGAGAAACTCTGTTCCTGACAACAAATTCTTCCATTCAGTATTCCAAACATTTGTCCCTTAGCTTACAGTCCTGACCTGCTGGAATGCCTCCCTGGCAACCACACCTGACTGAATTCTCCTGCAAACTTCCCTCCTGTTGTAAGACTTTTCTGACCAGTCTAGCTCATAGTAACTCCCTGTGCTCTGAAAACCTACTCAAGAATTAGCCAAATAAAGACCTTCTGTTGTGTCTACTGTCTCCTCATACATGTGAGACTTTAAGAAATCCAATTCCCTATCCCCCTAACCTACCTAGTCCAGACAGCCATCTGGGTAAGTGTGTTTGCTCTGCAGACCCAACCCTTGTCTCTAGCCAGCTGTCCTAAGATCTATGCTGGGTGGGTCTGGGTTATAGAAGGGAAAAGGTGCAAGTCTTCTTGGTCATAGACCTAAAGCCATGTCCTCCAAAGGGCTTTCTGAGTAATAAAGCTGACATTTTCTCTCCACTTGCCTGTGTCTTATTTCTCATTTGGTTCCAGACTATGGAAGAGAAGAAAGAGGTATAATGTATAGACTGCCTAAAGCCCCAACACAGACAAGTCGCTAGCCCCTTCCCTGCAGAATTTTCTAGGCATAATCCATCCTTATGTCCCTGGGGCCTACCTGCATCATTCAGCCACTTCTCCAGAAGTGGCTTGAGCTTGCACATGTTCTTGAAGCTCAGATTGAGGGCCTCAAATCGCGAGATCGTGGTCTGGCTGAAGTCATTGCCATACAGCTTTCCCATTGCCAGTCCCACATCTCCCTGTGAGTGGGATTGAAAAGAAGTAACTTGAGAAACAAAATGCTTCTCTTCTTGGTCCACATTCCCCAACATCCTAGCAGCAATCACATACCCAATGAAACTGCAAGCACCCACCCATCACCTTGGCTCCTTTCTAGTTTTTTTTTTTCTCTCTAAGATGGAGACACCAAGTGGACCATGTGCCTGACCTTTGTCTAGCTCTCATTTATTTCTCTTGCCTCCACTGGCAATGCCCTCATTTTCTCTACCAACAGCAACTATGCCTTATTTTCAGGGAACACAGGAACATGATGAGATTGTCTTAAACACATCCTTGGATGTTAAGCCTCCTTGAAAGCTTAGTTTCCACTCACTCAACCCAATTTCTTCCATCTTCTACCACAAAACCAAACCTGTGTGAAGCCCAGCTTAATGCGCCTCTGCTTGAAGGTCTTGGCAAACTTCTCCAGCTCCTCCAGGTCACTGGGCTCGTCAGCCCCTCCAGTGCTGGGCAGATGCTTAGGCAATGGGAGATGCTGGGACACTTCCAGGTGGGGTTCTAAAGAGGATCCTGACAGCCCAGGGTGTCCAGCTGCCTAAAAGGGAAACACAAGCCAAGCAGATCCATGAATAGTCAACATATCAAATGGCATTTTCTGATATTTTGTACTAATGGGCTTGTTCAGAGGATGACAGATCCCTGGCTACATTGGACTCCTAGTTTTTGCAATAGCATGGAAGTGGAAACTGGAGTTTCTATGAAGGAATAGCAAATACCTAGAATAATGGGTATAAACAGTAGGAGTGTGAGACATGGAGGTAGCCTTTTGAGTTTTATTCTATGACTCACTCTTAGCATTTATCTTCCTCTGTTCAGTTTTCCACCATAAAAGGAGCTAGCAGGGTTGTTTACAAAGATTTCAAAAAGAAATCTTGACGACTTCCGCCAAGATGGAGGCATAGATGGATGTGCCGTGCCTTCTCACACAACCAAGATTAGAGAAAACTAAATATTAGCAACAGAAAACATAGCCAGAACACGGAAAATTGAACTTTTCGGAAGTCCGTTAACAACAAATTCTTCAGCCTGACCGGTAAGGGGCGAAACCAGCGGCTGGAGGAGCAGGGTTACACAGGAGGTCTGGGTCAGACGGACTCAGGCCTGTGGAATCCAGGCACAGGGTTGGACCTAGTGAGCGACCAAGCAAGCCACCAGGCGAGCGACCGCGGGGGAGACAGCGGGGCAGCGGGGCTGCATGTTGACTGAGGTCGCGCATTTGTGCACGGGTGGACAGGCGAGGGAGTGGGCGGTTGGACCAATCCGGCAGGTCCCCACGGCAAGCGGCAGTGGAGGGCACCGCCATTTCCCTGCTCTGACCCCACCTCCACATACAGCGTCATAACCCAGTGACTCTGAGTGGCCCGGCCCAGGTGAACCACCTAAGGCGCTGCTCCTCTGCACCCAGCTGTGAGAAACAGCAGAGGGAGCCGCCATTTCCCCGCTCTGACCACGCCCCCACATACAGCATCACAACCCAGCGACCTAGGAATCCGAGGCGCCGCTTCTCACAGTTAAAGAGCCCGAACAGACCAAGAATGGCTCAAGAACTCAAAGCCCCAGAGCCAATAGATCTAAGCGATGAAGAAATAGCAAAACTCACAGACGCACAGTTTAAAACATTGGTGATCAGGATCCTCACAGAACTGGTTGATTATACCGACAAATTAGACAAATATATGAAGGCAAAACTAATTGAAATGAATGGAATTGCACAGGAAACCAATAGCAATGAAAAGGAAACTGGGATTCAAATCAATGGAGTGGACCAGAAGAAAGCAAATAATGGCCAAACAGAAAAGAGTCAAGAAGCAAGAATTCAAAGAAATGAGGAGAGTCTTAGGAACCTCCAGGACATCTTTAAACGCTCCAACATCCGAATTATAGGGGTACCAGAAGGGGGGAAGGCACAGCCACCAGTGGAAAACTTATTTGAACAAATAATAACAGAGAACTTCCCCAATCTGGCAAAGGAAATAGACTTCCAGGAAATCCAGGAAGCTCAGAGAGTCCCAAAGAAGTTGGACCCAAGAAGGAACACACCAAGGCACATCGTAATTACATTAGCCAAAATTAAAATGAAGGACAGAATCCTAGAAGCAGCAAGAGCTAAGGGGACAATCACCTATAAAGGAGTCCCCATCAGACTGTCAGCTGATTTCTCAAAAGAGACCTTACAGGCAAGAAGGGGCTGGAAAGTGGTATTCCAAGTCATGAAATCTAAAGACCTACATCCAAGATTGCTCTATCCAGCAAAACTTTCATTTAAAATGGAAAGACAGATAAAGTGCTTCTCAGATAAGATCAAATTCAAGGAGTTCATCATCACCAAGCCCTTATTATATGAAATGTTAAAGGGACTTATCTAAGAAAAAGAAGTTAAAGGAACGTGAACAGTGAAAGGACAACAAACTCACAGTTATTAACAACCACACCTAAAATGAAAGCAAACTAAAAGGACAGCTAGATCAGGAGTGGAAACATAGAAATGAAGATCTCAAGGAGGGTTAGCAACAGGGGAGTGGGAGGAGGAGAAGGGGGGAGAAGGTACAGAAAATAAGTAGCATAGACAGTAGATAGAAAATAGATGGGGGGGCAAGAATAGCATGGGAAATATAGAATCTAAAGGACTTGAGACACATGGTCATAAACTAAAGGGGGGTAATGGTGGGGATGAGGGGTAGGGTGGAGGGGAATAAAGGGGGAATAGAACAACTGTAACAGCATAATCAATAAAAAAATTTTTAAAAAAAGAAATCTTAAGACAAGGAAAAAGTTGTTTGTTTTGTCTGTTCTTTTCCCACAAAGCAAGGTTACTGAGGTGTTCAACAGGCATTAAATGAAGATAACAGAGGACATCTGAGGCTCATTACATTAATAGAATTTCCATAAAATCTCAAACTCTTGTCATTGCCATTTTACTTTCGAAACCATCATTTTCTTTCATGAGAATGTTTTAAGTTTTGCTTTTTAAAAAAAAATCAAAGGCATTCTAGTACTATTTAAATGAACCTTCATCTCATTTGTTGTTGTCAGGAGAAATTTGTTTTTTTTTAGTTTATTTTCATAGGAAAATAGACTCTTAAACCTAGAACCCTTGTTGTACCCATTTGAGGTCAGGAGTGAATTGAACACATGAACACATTTATCATTCCACAAATAAGGAAGAAAGCCCAAGCCCAGGGGCCCAGGCATTGTTCCAGTGCAGGGGCCACTGCCCATGTGGACAATGTGACCTAAGTCCACTTTCTTCTTCCTTCTTCCCAGTTCACTCTTTTTCCTAGACTTGGGTTAACTTCATTCATTTTCTCATCAAAGATATCCGGCTTACCATTAAGATAGGCATCATTATGATAAGGAAGGTAAAAGGACCTGAAAGAAGTTAAGGACTCTTTTCCCCAATGTCTTTTAGAACAGAATGATTTAAAACCATTATGGAATGATCCTGTTTTGCAGAGTGGCATAGACCAGACCTTCAAGATGGTCTCAGCCTTTTTTGAGGCTTCCTTTTCATTAAGTTATTTGTCCTTTCCTTTGACAAACACTTATTAAGTTCTTTGCTAGACTTTCACTCTCCACCTTTCACATCCAATTAGATATACCAAATTTCATTGACTCAACTTCCCCAAACATTTCCTCACTGATCCCCTCCCCTTTATTCTTGTTGTTATAACCCTAAACCAGTCCTTTATTACAACTGTCCAAGATAATCTTAGTAACTTTCTGTCATGGCTGTCTTATTTATAAGATGTGAGTTGATCTTGAAAGCTGTCAGAAAGAAGTGGAAGAGTTTATGAGTCATGTCCCCATTTATATTAGCCACTAGATGGTGATCTCCTTCCAGATGTCTTTAGTGGACTCTAGCCTTCTATAGCCAGGGCCCTTAGTGATCCATCAATGGAGAATCTTAGCATAGAGAAGGGATGTCAGAATCTCTGCAATCTTCTGCACATCCATTCTGCACAGCCATCTCATGCAGCTATGTAGGTTAACTGTACAGATAGGGGAGGAGTTGCTGCTATAGTACAGCTCCCACTACTCTTGCCAAGCCATACACCCTGACATAAGGCCACATCTAGCCAGTGGAAGTGGTGCCTTTCATTCTAATTGGAAAACAAGGGCTGTGTAGAACCATGACAGCTCTCCAAATGGCTCCTGTTGCAGACCTCAGTCCTTCTGACCCACAAACATATGTCCAGTGCAGTAGGCAGTCTAGAATAGGTCTTAAGTGAGGCTCATAGGCAAGAGCCACTGGCTTTGTAGTCTTGAGACATCAGGCCTATGGGATTCTGGGCTTTCCCTGGGGCTTGTGAGCACCCAGCCTGGGCTGGCCATTATCTTGGCGTCCCTAGGAAGTCAGCTGGCCTTTGGTTTTGAGATAAGTGATGCTAGATTCTCATTGGGAATTGAGTGGAGTGCCTGCATAACGGATCAGGCTAGCCCAGGAGCTAAGTCTGACTTCACCAGTGATAATGGGTCAGTAATTTTCTCTGGCTATGTCTTTATTTTCCCATGAGCCAACAGGGCTAATCCCTTGCTATTCCCTCTTCCCAGAGGGGTAAAAGCACCTTTGGGTGCTTTTTCCCTCTTCCCAGAGGGGTAAAAGCACCTTGGGTGAAGGGAAACCAATGAACATAACTTCATTAGTAGCTGAGGAATTCCTACAGGAAATAGGAAAAATGTTGTTTACCTGGGATGCCAAGCCAGGTCCAGACTGTGGGAGGAGGAGAGAGCTTTGTTGCTGTGGAAAGGGGAGAAGATTTGGCTGCAGACCTGGGTAAGAGGAGAGGGACAAAGGAACAAATGAATAAAATCCAGGCCATCTGGAAGACATGCTCTGCAACTTTGGAACCATGATAACTCTCATCACCCTTTACTAACTGATCAAGCCCGTCACCCACCTTAAGCCCTGTGGAGAGGCCCCCACAGGTACTGCCAGGCATTGTCACACACAGGCAGAGGCAAATCAGACATAGGGATAAACATCTGTAAACAGCAGTCCCCAAACTAGTCTTTCTGCTTGCACTCCTAGCTGGGGTGGTGCAAAGGCTGAGGAGGGTCAAAACAATCTGCTCTGGGATCTGATAACCAGGGCTGAAGAAATCCAAGAGCAAGAAGATGCAGGGTGAATACTAACATTTTGACCTGAAGCCGAGAATTTCTGTTTTGCCTGCAGAAGTAGCTGGACGCTACGCAGGCTCAACCATATCTACAAGTGTGTCAAAACAAGAGGATGGGGCTATACAGCTCCAAAGGGCAGTGAACCATTGACCAGAGGCTCTTGGCAGGACATTTTACACTTAGGAGGAAGGACTGAAAGAGAAGGGGAGACAAGAAACTGAGCCTCTGGAAAGTCCGTCTGGTGGTATAGATTCTACCTGCTCAGTCCACTGCTTAAGGATTGCTTTCTCCTTCCCTCTCCCGGAAACTGTCAATAAAGGAATCTGTCTGGTTGGTGGTCATGACAGTGGCCTTTCATCTATGAAAGGTGACAGCCAGGCCTTCTCACTTTTCTCTGGTCATGACAGTGGCTTTCCTCTATGAAAGGTGACAGCCAGGCCTTCTTACTCTCACTTCATGGAGGGGCCATCAAACTACCAAAGCAGACAATGGGGTGGGTCACCCCAATCACTTAGCACAGAGCAGAACCTTGGGGGTTCTGCTGCCCTAAGTTGTTTGACATCACTGAGGTACAGCAGCATCAGCTAATGCTGACCTTTATGCTTCTCAGGCTAAAAAAAGTCAGATCTAATTTTTTCTTATTAAAATAAATAGGCAAGAACCCTGAACTGGGAGTCCAGAGGCCTGAGTATTAATTATAATCTAACATTTACCATATGTTGAGTTTTAAAGGTTACAAAGCCTTTTCACATACATCATTTAAAATAACCCTCAATAGCCTTGTGAAATAGAGTTTTATTACTTTTCTATTTTTATGGAGGGGAAAATAAAACCTCAAAGAAGTTAAAGTAAGTATCCTAAGGATAAACAGCTAGCAGTTTTTACCAAAGGCTTTCTCTGACTCTAAATTTTGAATTGGGCTTTTGTTTGTTTTGTGTTTTTTTCTCCTCTGTATTATATGTTGGCTTTATTGGTTATATGCCTGGGCCAACTTTATATCACTATCTTCCAAAAAGAAACCGAATCAAGTGTAATCTCTTTTCTACTCCAGGAGTGTGATATACATTTAGCCAAAGCAAATGCTTAAAGATTCAAATATATTCTCATTATTCATTATAGTAACATTCTAAGATGCCTTGGACACTAAGGATGAGGATTGAAATTTAGATAGGTTCTAAAGACAGAAGAAACAGTTTCATTTTGTTTGGATTCTGGAGCTTCAACCTCATTGTTGGACTTAGAAGAGGGAGAGGTAGTACAGCAGATGGCCAAGACCATGGGTTTCAGACAGACTGGGAACTTTATAGTAGGTCACCAAAGCCATAATATAAGGTTATTTGGAAATTAAATCAGGAAAATTATTCAGCAGAGCTTGTGGCACATGTCATGCTCAAGGAATGTTAGCTATTGTTATAAATATTCTAATCCCTTTGTTCTTGGCCAAGTTATCTGGAAGTTAACTTCCCAGCCAAAGAAAACCTGAAAACCTGTAGGTGGCACTGTTACTCTACCCAAATAGAATCACAGTCAAGTTTCCGGAGTGACTTCCAAGGAATTGAGACTTGTCTGTACTGCATTTCCCAAGCAGCTACTCTTTCCTTGTACTTCTCCAATTCTTTGCCACCCTCACACCATCTGTCTCAATTGGCTATGAAATGGAGAAGGTGGGAAAGTGAAACAGTGAAGGAGACTCAGTCTAGAGGTGCAATGACAGGGTCCCTTCCTCAGACCTTGCTATGGAAAAGCTGGTTTTAATATTAGAGGGCCAAGCCACTCGCTCATGTGCCAAATTTGGGCTTTCTCACCCAGTAAGCAGCAGCAGCAGCACTTTACTGTACTTGGTCTATGTGGAAAACCCCAGGATTATTACCTTGCTGCCCAGGCTGTGTCTGAGATAGCAGAAACTGGGATACAGACTGTAGGTGGCCAGGAACCAGCACGAGCTGCTGGAGTGGGTGGAGGGGAGTCACATCCTGCATATGAGGAGACACACACATTACAGAATTTATAAACTGGGGTGACAGCTCTAGCTGCCTTCTAACTCATTTGTCCCATGGGTCTCCAGACTCTGAAAGTTGGTGGGCAGTGACCTTGCCTTATGCCTCTGTGTATCAGCAGTGTCTGGTACATAGTAGCTACTCCATTAATGCTGGTGATGTTACAGCTTAACCAAGCGGTGCCTTGCAACCTTTTGTCACTTAAATCTTGCCTTGTTATTTAACTCTTGTGTGTGTCAGTCCTGTCTCCCAGCTTAACTGTAAAAGCCCTGAGGATACAGACTATTACCCTTCTTTCAGTTGTGTACCCTAAAAATAACAAGCAATCCCAATTGTCCATTAAAAAAAAATCTCATGGTATTTTATCATGATAAAAGCCATGTCTTGACAATTTTCTTGGGCCCGAAACTTCCCTGGAAGAAGGAAGAAAGTTATTAGTTTTTTCATAAAACCAATTTGATTAAACAGGAAGTTCATTTTCCCTGGAGTTCTTCCACTAGCCCAGGAAATGGAAATACCAATTCCAATGCTTGGGGAATCTGGGAATCCTTTGGTACTTGAGACCTCCAGGGCTCTGTGTCTTCACTGTGCTGAAATTAGCTCTGTACCCAAATAAAAAAACTTCTTAAACTCTTACTGAATAAAGAAATGAAGAAATGGGTGCATATTCTACTCCTAAATATGACCAGAGAAAGGGTATCTCTTTCTTCCCCAGCTGATCCAGACCAAGAAAGGAGTTTATCACATGAATGCCTTCTTAGACATTTGTGGGTACTGTTTCAGGACGCCTCTTTCTTCCTGCTAATGGTATTCTGTTCTAGTTTGGCTTTGACATAAAAACTCGTTGTGGGGGAAGGGAGCACTAGGGACAGAAACACTCTATAGGTCTCCCCTGAATGTGGCTGGCAGACACCAGCCCCATAGCTACTAGATCTGTTCTTTGGGAGTTTTGTTTTGTTTTATTTTGTTTTGAAAGATTGCCTCTTTTTTTCTCCCAGGGATGTAGAAACCTCACTTTTCACAAAACCAGCTAGGCTTTACCTTTAAGATGACTTAAAAATTTTTTTAACTGATTTTTAAATAGAAAGAAGGAGAGAGAGAGAGAAACATCAATTTGTTGTTCCCCTTATTTATACATTCTTTGGTTGATTCTTGTATGTGCCCTAAATGGGGATCAAACCCACAAAGAGCATTGAGACAAAGCTCTACCCAACTGGGACTGTTTTGTAACACCAACCCTCACCCAGACTCTAGGCCTCTAATCTCTCTCATGTTCCCTGCAGGGGGTTCTTTAGAACAATATAGACTCCCTGAGTGCCAAATTTAGAGGTCAGGCATTTTGTAAACAGCTTGAATTAAACTCACTGGCCCGCTGAGAATGTCAGGGCTCCCTTACGTGGGCTGTCATTTACCCCAGACATCTGGTTTCTGGACATCATGGCAGGTCCTTGACTCAGGTGGCATGGCCTATGCAAGAGGGTCTGCTGCAGGGAGTCATTGAGGTCCTCTGTTTTAATCTGTAAGTGGAGGCAGGAGGAGAATATCAGTTCTGGGCCTTCCCAGGCCAGCAGAAGTGGAAACTCAGAGATCAAGGCAGAAGATAAGTCATAAGACCAAGGAGTAAAGAGCTAGCTCAGAGCCTACTGGGCTGTAGCTTGATTTTCCTGCCTGTGTGTGCTCTACAGAACAGGGAATCTGGTCAAAAACAGAGGTGAGTGGCCCTCTGGAGTACCAATTTGCAAGATGGGGACTCCACCTATATCCATCATTCCCAAATGCTATTCCCATCAGCTGTGTTGATACATAATGCATTCTCTGCTTCATTGAAATGAGAAAGAAATCATTGTAGTGACTTAAAATTTTTATTTTGAACCTGAGATGATATTCTTTTTGGGGGGAGGGTGGGAGTATATTAGAATGCTTTTTATGAAGTGATGGCAATCTGAAATGATATTTTTAAAACTCCCCACCTCATAAAGTGTAATATTGAAAACCCTTTATCAATTTCTCCCATGTTCTAGTTTTTATATTCTTGGTCCACAAAGTCGCAAATCTGGGAAACACTGATACGGAAGATCAGCTTCCTCTCCATCCCCCTTTGTTTTTCACACCTCCCTGTCATCTGCATGTAAGACTGCCTCTGTAGCTGGGCCCCTTTGGTGACAGTCCTTGCCTGTCTCCCTACAGGTGGGGACATGTCTCCCTCAGAGTACTGCAGTGGTTGCAGCCTAAGGGGCCTGTGGTGGTTTCCAAACTTTCTAGCAGCCTCTACCTGTCTTCAGTGCTAGCACCAACCACCCACTCATGGGTTTCCAGGTGTCCAAGAGCAGGGCAGGAAGCACTACGTGTGGCCATGTCTTCTCCCACCCTGAGAACAACTACCCTCTTGCAGCTTTTAGAAAGTCCATGGAGTTGGAGCAGCTAAGTGACTTTGGGTTCATATAATGTGGCAAGGAGAACATGATCTGGACCACACCTTACAAAAGACAGTAGAGATCCCAGCTTAAACCATTTTCTTGGTCTACACTGAATCTCACTGACATCCTGGAAGCTTTCCTGTCTTCATTAGTTTAACCTAAGTTAAAGGTTCAGACTAATGGCTATGCTTGTGCTTTTAATCTCTGTAGAAAAATGGTGCTTTGGATCATTAGAGGAAAAATTCTTTTTGATTGGAGAGCCAGAAAGATCCTATGGAGTGACTATTAGAGACTGAGAAGGATTAAAGTGCCTTGAAGATAGTGGAAACCCGATGAATGTTAATTGAATGAAAGACATAAACAGAACCCATCTCTCTATAGTCTCCAGGGGGATACAGTGAGGATGCAGCTATACATTTCTTCTAGTCCTGTCTCTGATTCTAACTTACTATGTAACCTTGAACACTCATTCAGCCTCTGTGGAACTCAATTTCCCCATCTGGTATATAGTGCTGCATAGATTTAAAAAAATTTTCAGTTCTAAACTAAAATTACAAATGCCAATTCCATAGCACATTTGGCATACAGGGCTAGTCCAGGTGGCTGCAGCATTCTTAGACAAAGTAGATCTAAAAAGCAACAAGAAGCTCTGGTTGTGCAGAAATTGGTAAGAGGATGTTTTTTGCAGGGACAGCTTTTACAAATCATTCCTGTCTTTTCTTCTCACCTAAGGAGACTATTCTGGAGCCTAGAACACACAGAGGAGGAAGGGAGAGAGAGAGAGAGAGGAAGTAACACAGTGGGATCAGAGAGTGAGACTTTCTGAAAACTCAAAAACCCTGGCCACCCAGGAATGATCTCCAGCACAATCCCAACCCCTGCCCCCGGCACCCCTCAGCAATTTCCACCCACACTTAGAATCACAGTCTAAGAAACCCTGGTATTCTAATTCTTCTCCCACAAATTGGAGTTTTCACAATCTAAATTACATGGAAACATTTTGAAAAGCTAGAAATAAATGATAAACTACTTATTTATTTATTTATTTATTTATTTATTTAGTTAGTTAGTTAGTTAGTTAGTTTTTGCCTTTTTCTTTTTAAATATATTTTATTGATTATGCTATTACAGTTGTCCCATTTCCCCCCTTTAATCCCCTCTGCCCTGCACACCCTCTCCCACCCTCATTCCCCCACTTTAGTTTATGTCCATGGGTCATACATACAAATTCTTTGGCTTCCACATTTCCTACCCTATTCTTAACCTCCCCCTGTCTACTTTCTACCTACCATTTATGCTACTTATTCTCTGTACCTTTTCCCCTTCTCTCCCCCTCCAACTCCCCTGTTTATAACCCTCCATGTGATCTCCATTTCTGTGATTCTGTTCCTGTTCTAGTTGTTTGATTAGTTTGCTTTTGTTTTTGTTTCAGATATGGTTGTTAATAACTGTGAGTTTGCTGTCATTTTACCACATTTTTATCTTCTTTTTCTTAGACAAATCCCTTTAACATTACATATAATAAGGTCTTGGTGATGATGAATTCTTTTAACTTTACCTTATCTGGGAAGCACTTTATCTGCCCTTCCATTCTAAATGAAAGCTTTGCTGAATAGAGTAATATTGGATGTAGGTTCTTGTCTCTCATGACTTGGAATACTTCTTTCTAGCCCCTTCTTGCCTGTAAGGTCTCTTTTGAAAAATCGGATGACAGTCTTATGGAAACTTTTTTTGTAGGTAGCTGTCACCTTATCTCTTGCTGCTTCTAAGATTCTCTCCTTATTTTTAATCTTGAGTAATGTGATTATGATATGCCTTGGTGTGTTCCTTTTTGGGTCCAACTTCTTTGGGACTCTCTGAGCTTCCTTGATTTCCTGGAAGTCTATTTCCTTTGCCAGATTTAGGAAGTTCACCTTCATTATTTGTTCAAATAAAATTCCACTTGTTGCTCTTCCTCCTCTCCTTCTGGCAGCCCTACAATTCAGACATTGGAATGTTTAAATATGTCCTGAAGGTTCCTAAGCCTCTCCTCATTTTTTTGAATTCTTGTTTCTTCATTCTTTTGTGGTTGAATGTTTCTTTCTTCCTGCTGGTCCACACCATTGCTTAGAGTCCCAGTTTCCTTCTCATTACTATTGGTTCTCTGTACATTTTCTTTTATTTCACTTAGCATTACCTTCATTTTTTTTCATCTAATTTGTGACCAAATTCAACCAGTCATGTGAACATCCTGATTACCAGTGTTTTGAACTGTGCATTTGATAGGTTGGCTATCTCTTCGTTGCTTAGTTATATTTTTTCTGGATCTTTGAGCTGTTCTTTCATTTGAGCCTTTTTTTTTGTCTGTGTGTCTGTTAATATGAGGGGAGGAGCCTTAGTTGTTCACCAGGGCAAGGCAACCCACATCGCTGCTTTGTGATGCTGTATGTGGAGAAGGGGTCAAGAGGGAACAATGGTGCTTGCTCTACTCTCTGCCGGATTCCAATCACTTCCCCCACAAGCAAATTGGGCTCTTCTAGTGCCTATTCCTGGGTGGGTTGGCATGTGTACGTTCTACGACCCTGTGGGTCTCTTGAACAAACTCTCCTGTGAGGCTGGGAGTTCCTCCTGCTGCTGCCTCAACCCCCACAGATGGTTTCAATTAGTGGTTTGAGGCTTTATTTCCCTGCACTGGGATCCTGGGTTGTGAGGTCTTTCTCCCCAAGTGTTCCTCCTGGTTTATTTGCACATGTCAGTGGGACTGCCCACTCCACCAGCTGGTCTGCAAGGTGCTGCCTTGCCAGCCACCTGCCACCTCGCCTGCCCCTGTACTCCACTGCTGCTTTGCTGTGACTCCTCTCTGACCATCTGCCTGTCTCCATCCCTTCTAACAGTCTGAATGAATGTGTCTTTTTTAACTCCTTGGTTGTTGGACTTCCATACAGTTTGATTTTCTGTCAGTTCTGGTTGTTGTTGTTATTTTTGTTATTGTCCTTCTTTTGGTTGTGCAAGGAGGCACAGTGTGTCTACCTATGTCTCCATCTTGGCTGGAAGTCTTAAACTACTTAGTTAAAACCACCAACAACAACTTTAAGGTTTCCTCTGAGAGGAGGTTTTACTTATGCAAAGCCTTTGTGGCCACCTCCCCTCCTCACATCCCCCTTCTCTACCTGTCATTCCAGAGGGGGCACATGTGAAGCAGGATGGAGGAAGGGAACAGGGAGAGAACATGGAACACTGGAGCTGAAATCAGGCTAGTGGAACCACCTCAGGCAGTTTGGCCACATTCCAGCTAGAAGGCAAGTAGCAGGATTCCTTTATAGACTCATTATGCTTAGTGGAGAGATAAGGAGGTGCAGCTATGACAGAGCTTGAAAACATGTGCTTTGCCTCCAACCTGAGTGCTATCTGTTAGAATCAGTGCCAGGTTTTCCTACGACACTTAATTTCAGAAACCAGAGCCATCATAAAAGAAAACTCAGCCTTTCATCTGTTTCATGGATCAATTGTCCTTCAAACTCTTTTAGGGGCACTGCCCACCTCCCAATTCTGAGAATAAAGTGCCTGATTGCAAAAATTTCTCTCAGTGTTAGTCTACGTGTTCTGACAACCCCATGTGTTATTATTCTGAGTTTTTTCTTTGGCAACATTTTACTCTTTCATTTTTCACAATTCATTATCCCATTGGGTGTGAACTACTGGCAGTAACTCCCAAAAAGACAATCCTAAATAAACCAAAGTGAAAGATAATAAAGGGTACTTCCTTTTCTGTGAAAAGTTCTAAAATCCCCTCTTTAGTTGGTGGGTCTTGGAAAGAGCAGAGCTGGAATAAAGGGGAAGCAGATACATCAACAACTCTTCTGACTCTAGCACACTTCTCTGACAATTCTCTGAGATTTTGGGGACTCAGAAACCAAAAAATTCAGAAATAAAGATCCCCTCATCAAAAAATCCCTTTCACTGCTGTTGAATGGAAAACACTGGAGCCTCTCCAGGCAACTAGGTGTTGGCTGTGGATCTGGAAGATGAGATAAAGAGACTTCTGTTGGATCCCATTGACTTCTAATATGAAAATTGGAACCACATTGGATGAAAACCTAATTCCCTCCATACTTGTGAAA